TCTCTCTCTCTCCCAATATATCTCTCTCTCTCTCTCTCTCTCTCTCTCTCTCTCTCTCTCTCTCTCTCTCTCTCTTTCTCTCTCGTACTTACCCAACGAGCAAGGTGGACCGATCACTACATCCTTGAAATACAAGGATCAACTTTATCCTTGCAATACATCTTCACCATACTGCCTGCAGCCTGGCAGGCATCGCAGTTCGAATCACGGCTTATTAACCTTTAACGAGAAAGAACAATAACGCAAGATTCGCAGACGATCCCTCGCGGCAACTCAAATCATCTCTGAACGCGAACGAAGCATCGCGAAGCATCGCGAAGCATCGCTGCCACACGCCACGGAGAACACTATGTTCTCAACTCTGTGTTGCTTTCTATCGTCAGATCTTTTCAGAAATTTCATCGCATAGAAAAAATAGCAAATAGATCTACGAGCCCCGCATGTAATCAGTCGGATACAAGCAAAACCGCATGATATTATACAAGTGTACATAAACGGTATTAAAGCAAAGCGCAATTCGCAAGTGGCGCGGATGAATGGGGTGTTACATGTAGACACGCGGTAGAGATGGTAGTGTGTGATTATCTATCCCTGGTAGAACGTAGACACGCGCTCGAGCAGGCACACAGGTGAACTGTTACACATATACACAATCGCTCTATAATACAGGTCGGGAGTAATTTACACATTATTTCGATGAAAATAAAATAAAAAATTCTAAATAAATGAAAATATAAACGGCACTCACCCGATTCTGAACTTCTTTCCCAGTGTCGGGTCAGCGTGGATCTTCTCTACAGCGATGGAGACGGCGCTGGCACTTGTCGGACCTCCGAATTCATCAAAGCTCGCCTGCCACGGTATCAGCAATCCCAGCTTGATGGTGATCACCGCCGTGTCGTTATCGCCAAGCGCCACTCCCCCGCCCGTCTCTATCAACTTGCCGTAGTTTGAACGTTGGCACGGACGAGTGCGACAATGACGATAGCAGCAGGGCGGGCACTCCGTGAGACCATCCGACCTCCATGTTATTCTATCACCTGGCTAACCGGGGAATATCTGTTCACCTAACGTTGTGTTTTGAGTTGGATTACTCTAACACTAACGGGAAAATTCTCAGGGATAAGAAGCGCCGCAATGTATGCTCAGTCTATCGCGTTCATTTATCTGAAATACATATATGTGTATGTGTGTTCATAAAATATCGAGCCTTTACAACGGGCGATGCTGTTGTGACGTAACCAGACGTCGACAGCGGCGGAGCGCTTGTGCGATCTACCTGCTCCTCTCTCTCTCTCTCTCTCTCTCTCTCACACACACACACACACACACACACACACACACACACACACACACACTCCGTAGCCGATAACCTCCAAACTCGCAGAGCTTCCCAGGCCAGAGCGTTTGAAGAGCCAGCATCTATTTCTCGACATAACTGCTCTCACAGCTAGCGGGCGGGGGGGGGGGGGGGGGGGGGGGGGGGGGGGGGGGGGGGGGGGGGGGGGGGGGGGGAGGGGGAGGAGCAGCCCTCTCCAGGTGTGAGGCAATAAAGGAGGAAACAATAGGCATTCAATACACAAATATTTTTAAGCTTACGTTCACTGTTTGTTATATTAATAATATATATATATATAAATATATAAATATATATATTATACATTATATATATATTATATTAGCTTAGCGAAAAACGTAGTAAAATATATTTGGCTTTAATAGAATCGCTCGACTTCTTAAACCGAACCTCTACACGTGTTTGATGACTCATTGGCTAAACATGACGTGATATAAGGTGAGTGCATTGATGTAAACCTGATGTCTGGGCTAAACCTACAATTTCCGAATTTGGAATGCCCGACGGTGGCTCTGATTGGTTAGGCGTAGGGAAGATTAGGATAGGGTTTTAGAGTTAAGGGGTAGTCAGGGTTATGGTCAGTTATGGGCTTATGGTTATGATTAGGGTTAGGTAGGGTGAGGATAGGAGTTAGGATTAGCGTTAGCAGAGGTAGGTCAAGTATGCGTCAGGTTATGGTTATGGTACGATTAGGTGTTAACGTAGCGTAGGGTAAGGATAGGCATTAGGATATAGGGTTAGTGAATGGTAGTGTTAGGTTAGTCAAGTTTATAGGTTCAGGGTTAGCGCCTAGGGTCTAGATTAGTGTTAGATAGGCTTTAGGTTTAGGGTTAGGGTGAGGGGTAGCGGTGAGGTAGGTTAGTGTTAGGGTTAGGGTAGGTTAGGGTTAGGTTAGGTTAGGGTTAGGATTAGGGTTAGGGTTAGAGTTAACATTAGGTTAGTGTTAGGGTAAAATTCAGTAGTATCGCCCAACCTCGTGTATATGTGCTTACCGTGGCCGCAGTGTGAGACCTATAGGAGATCCTACATGGTCCGCAGACGGCGTGCCAATACGTAACGGCCGCTACGTCACGTGCGCAGGAAAGTCGCAACGTCGCCCGTGATCGCCTCACTCCAGCACAACTTCCGGATCCGGCATCTCGCACCATGCGCATGCAGCTTTCGTATCGTAAAGCATGCGCAGCAAAGCACGCCACTATGGGGATAAATGCATTTTGCGTTTCGAGAAAACGCGCAGATTGTTGCGAGAATACGTTTGCACGCGGTGTCTCTCTGTGAATAGTCTGCACACGCGGACCCGTGTACTGGAGTCTGGGAACTCATCATGCCTCGTACTGTCTGTTGGAGACACAGTGAAACATGTACGGCTCCATGGAGTCAACGGAAAAACGTACAGTAAACGATGCTGCCGCAAAGGGCGAAGAGAGAGAAGAGAGAGAGACGAGAGAGAGGAGAGAGAGAGAGAGAGAGAGAGAGAGGCAGAGAGAGAGAGAGGCGCCGCAATAGAGCACGGATAGGAGAGAGCGCAGATGTGATGAAAGAGAGAATAGAAGAAGAGGGAAGCGAGGGAGAAGAGAAGGGCAGAGAGAGAGAGAGAGAGAGAGAGAGAGAGAGAGAGAAGAGAGAGAGGAGCAGAGAACGATAGTCAGCAGGGATAGAGAGCGCGATAGTGAGTGGATATAGCAAGAAAGAAAGAAGGATAGGAGAACTAGAAAAGGAATATAGGACGGGCTTACACTATCAAACGTAATCACTTAGCACGGGCTACACTTAAACGTTAAGACGCAACGTTTTAAAACGTTGACGTAAGCATGCTATGGCAGGCGAGCACGTGATGAAAGCGCGGTGTTTACCTCCACCGTACTGCCCTTTAAAGTAAATTATGTGCATCATAAATATAAAAAGTTAAGAAAAATTTCCACTTTTTCTACAAATTGTACAGTGATTCTGTTCATTTTATGGTTAAATTGCTGCAATAGACCTCCTATTTGCCCTATCGTTCGATGCTGAACAAACACTCCTGACGCATACATAGCCCGATGCAAGCCCGCTGATCAAAATGTCAAATGCCCCAGAATATTGGAGTTTACAGGTTGAAAAACAATTTTACCAGGGTAAGAATTAGCAGGATACATTTAGCTGGGGGCCGTTGCTACTTACTTTTTATGTAAAATAAATTGCCAAACCAATTGACAAAATATACACCTAGAAAATTCGTAACAAGTTCAAGTTTAAAGATGAGCTGCTGGCTTTCCATGCTAAAACGTCACAAAGGGTTGAAATAATCGAACGCCATGTACTTGTCATTGTTTCAGGCCACATCCTCAAACATGGTATTCTTTTTGCCTACGTTTAAGATTAATTATTCGTATACATATATCATATACAGCATATACATTATACATATAAGTAATCATATACAGCATATACCATATATCATATACACATATATCATATCATATCACATCATATCATATTGCATTCATGCTCATCGCCATATTGCATGCATATACCTTGCTCGGCGTTCTGAATGTTAATCACCCGTATTATTTGCTGTTTGTAGCTTCTCACATACACCATCGCAAACAGTCAGACGCCTCAGGACCTGAACATCTACGACAAATAGCGAGAGGAAACATGAGCGTCAAAGTAAGTCACTCCACACATCAGTCGCTCGCGTATTAAAATATTATTAATTAATTATGGCCAATGTTGTATAAAGTTCGTATGAGACTTATTTCTGACCGCAGGAATATGCAATTTGAATTTGCGTTTCTTATATGCCACATAATTAACACACACACACACACACACACCACACACACACACACACACACCCCAATATCACAGCCACTTTCTACTCTCACTCTTCTCTCTCTATATCTCGTCTCTTCTCTATTCTCTGCTCTCTCTCTCTTCTCTCTCTCTCTCTCCTCTCTCTCTCTCTCTCTCTTTCTCTCTGGCCCAATATATTTATATATAATAAATATATAATGATGTATATTTGTATTCACTATACATACTATCAATTCCACTATACTTGAAACACATGGTATTTGGCTCCCTACTCAAAATACCTCACGTTTTCTGTTTAATAGGAAGGAGAATGCAGCCATACGTACTAGTGGGTTGGAAAGAAAAACTACGACAAACCCCTTCTTTACGCAAAGATCACAGAGTAAGTAGCTTATAAAAATGTAACACACACCACACACACACACACACACACACACACACAACACACACACACACACACACACACAACACACCCAGCACACACACACGACACACACACATACACACACACAACCACACACACACACCAGCGACGACGCACACACACACGCACACACCACGCACCACTGCAGCCGCAGCACGACACCACGCCACACACCAGCGCACGCGTCACGCGCACCACGCTCACACGCACACGCACACCACACGCACACGCACCGCACCGGCACAGCGCACACCACACGCAGCACCACACGCACTACACACGCAGCACCAGCACACACACACAGCACACGACGATCACACACACAATACATATATATAATAATATATATTATAAATATTATATACATATTTAACAATTAATTTTATTTATTTGTAAGATCGTCACTGTCACCTTCATTGTCGTAACAAGAATGAAGTTCCGCCATTTTGTTTGTATGAACGAACACTGGCATTTCATCTATAGCGGCATCACTTGCAATTAGTCAAGTATTCTAGTGACTCATTAACGCGTGATGTGATTCTGAATTCGTGATTTTCTGACTGGCTGTCGTGATTTGATATTATATTAGGCCCAGTATATAGACGGGCAGACACCGACAACGAAAAGCGGAAATGGCAACGGGCACGGTACAGCGCGCGGAGGCAAAAGACAAAGAGTCACTGAAACCAATAAAGGAATCAAAGTTATAATAAGTTATAACGGTAGGAGCGTGCCCTGCTGTCGTTCGGGTTCGTGCGCGCGTGTCGTAGTAGTTCGCTGTAGTACATTGTCATCACTGTATATTAGCTTTTCTACCTGCCATTGTGAGAGGCGAATCGTTTCATAGAGATTGATACGATAAAAAAAAGGTAGTTATAACACTACGTAAGCAATTAAAGGCTTACTACCCCAAGTTTACCTGTGATTTATCAAGTGTAACTAAATCAAATGAATCCTATAGTTCGTTATCCTATTCAACAGTGATAACACATCTCGTTTTACATATCTATCGTATATGTGACATAATTTTGCGATCGACTTAGTGATTATGTACCAGCAAAAACAAATTTCTTCGGTGTTCGTCATAGTTATAGTCGACATTCTAAAGTTATATAGAGACATTTCTTAGTTGTCTTCTGACACCGTGTGTT